TTGCCTAAGATATGACAGGAAATAAGAACCTTGCAGGTGAGCACGTGGTTTATTCAGAAGCAGCAACATCGCAAGTCGCACATTAGAGATGGCACTCGGCACTCTGCGTGGTGAGCTCCAGCTGTGATTCCACCCAAGTGGAGAAGCTTCAGTGAGCAGGGTTAGTGGGCAGCCCACCTTGTGAATGTGGTGCAAGACACAGCAAAGGCCCAAGATGCTGACATCACCAGTTGTATTCATTGTGGGCATACGGACCCCTCACAGGTCCTGGAGGGAAGGGGCTATGCCAGAGGAACTATCAGCAGAGAAACAGAAAAGGAAGAGAATGAGGGAGGGCAGGAAGGGGGAGGGAGTTTAGGAGGACAGGAAGGAAGATAGGAAAGGAGAGAAGGAGAAAAGGAAGGGAGGAAAGCAAGAGGGAGGGAATCGATGAGGAGGTCAGGAAGGAAGACAGGAAAAGAGAGAAGGAGGAAATGAAGGGAAGGAAGGAGAGAGGGAGGGAGTCAATGGGGAAGACAGGAAGGAAGACAGGGAAAGAGAAGGAGGAAAGGAAGGGAGGGAAAAAGAGAAGGAGAGTGGGGCAAGCAAGGAAGGAATTGTTTGGAGTCAGGAGCCCTAAATCCTAGAACAATACGATGATAAAGGGTGGGGTGTCATGAAGCCTGAGCCCCTCTCTCAGATGTCCAGTCATGTCTAGTCAGTGAGAATCCTGGCAGGAGAGAGGAAATTCGAATCCATGGTAGAGTCTGACCACATGCCTCACTTCCCCACATTTTTGGAGCACACATCCTCCCTTCATATGTGCTATTTTAGAATAGTGTATGTCTACTTAGGCAGTAACATTATGGATATTATAAAACATGATTTTTAATCATTAGTGAAGGCTATAAAGCTGATGCTGGAATTTCTCTTTTCTTGTTATTAACTGGAAGCTACATTTTATTATTTTTATAGGCATGTCCTTAATCCCTCTATTTTTTTGAGAAAGACTTAAAAGTAAATAATATAAGCTGTAAATACACTTTACCTTAATATGTACATTGCATTATGCTGAAATCAAATAAAATGGTTGAGAGCAATGATGTCTCCCTTCCTCCCCGCAAGGATACCTAGAGAAAAGACCAAGACACGAGAATATTCGCCAGCATTCACACAAATATTAAATGTTAGTGTTGGGTGCATTGGCTCTTGCCTATACTTCCAGTACTTTGGAAGGCCAAGGCAGGTAGATCACTTGAGGTCAGGAGTTTGAGACTAGTCTGGCCAACATGGTAGGACCCACTAAAAAATACAAAAATTAGCCAGGCATCGTGGTGGATGCCTGTAGTCCCAGCTACTTGGGAGGCTGAGGTAGGAGGATCCCCTGAACCTGGGAGGAGAGTGTTACAGTGAGCTGACATCACGCCACTGCACTCCAGTCTGGGTGCACCGTGAGACCCTGCCTCAAAATAAAAATAAAAACAAAATAAAATAAATGTTAGTAAAGCTTAACACATTTGCTACTTCTTTACATTAAAATAATAATCCTAAAGCCCCCTTCCCACAATGAAGTAGCTGGTATACCCCAGGAGGGGTCAATGATCCAGACCATTACATGCCCTGGTTGAAGGGCAGATGCTATCAGTCTGGGGGTGGCAGCTGGGATTCTGCATTTCTAGCGAGCTCCCAGGAGATTCTGACACTGCCAGTTCATACCATGTCTGTTGTCCACCACTGCGGAGAATCAAACTGAACCTCTTGCTCAGAGGGTTTGTACTCTGATGGTGAAGGGGTTCAAAAACAATGACCCTCTTCACACAAAAGTACCAGATACATCCTGGAGTACAAAGCCAGGAGTGGCGAATTCAGCCGTCTATGTCAGGCTCCCTTCCTGAGCTCATTGGGCTTGCAGGAAATCAGCAGTGGGAAGAGGTAAGAATATTCAGTGCTTCTAAAGCAAGAGACTTGCTAAGTCAGCATTGCTAAGCCAGCTATACTGGGGAAGGCAGGTAAGTCTGCAACGAGGAGCCCAAATTGAGGCCCTATCAGATGGAAGTACGAGCTTTCTCAGCATCATCAAGAAAAGTAGACTGTGGACAGCCACTGAGAAAGATGGTCCCTTGTCCAACCTGTTACTCTCCATCTATGCTAGGCAAGATTTGTACCCCAGAAAAGTAAAGAGAAGAATAGGGGAAAGGGGGCTCACAGAAAACAGATATAGCAGAGTGGAAACCAAATACAACAGATAACAAAAGCACAGAGACACAGGAACCAGGACAACAAACTAAGGAAGCTGAGATAAGCTACTACTCCATACAGGATGGTATATATACACACACACAATAAATGCCATGTTTAAGTTTATATGTTGTGTGAAAGGTCAGCTGTTTATTTGTTCCATCAGTTGTTAATGTGCTTTTGACGCCATCGTACTGTAGTTTACGGGATCATTTCTATTGTATCTTAAAATTGTCAGGAAAAGTAAGGTATTGTCCTATTGGGAAAACACAACTGTACAAAGGTAAACTGTAATTCATGGAAGGAAATGCATTCTCATCAGCATAGAAGCTGTCCATCTTTGGATGTTGGAGAATTATGTAAACCTAAAAGCTAACTTGTTATATGTATGCAAATCACATCAATAGAACAAAATTTCATTCTCTTCCAATCTAACTTGTGACAGAGAAGCCTTCACACATTGTTTTTTTTTTTTTTTTTTTTTTTTTTTTTTTTTTTTTTTTTTTTTTTTTTTTTTTTTTTTTTTTTTTAAGAAAAGAGGAGTCTTCCATCTTATTCACTGAAGTGATGTCACTGAAAAGTGTAGGAAAAAAGACTCACTAAAAAAAGATGTGAACCATGTTTTCACATCTGTGGAGAGCTGAAGTACATAAAGGTTTCTCTCAATCTGTCTCTTCCACAATTGCTGTGAGGCCTTGCCATTTCATCAAAATGGCACTGGGGCCTTTTTTCTTTTGAAAAATACTCTTAACTTAATGACTAAACAGAGATGTGAGGTGGTTATGATACCAAAAAAGAAAAAAAAAAACAACAATAACACTGACATGTGTGCATCCATTTGTTTCCAGAGAAAGGAAAGAATCTGGGAGGGAGAATTGTAAGGACTCCAGGTGGGAAATACTGTCATATTGACTGCAGGTACCCCAGCAATGTGAGTGGAATGCATCTACTATGGCATTGTGTTCCCCAAAAAGATATGTTGGAGTCCTCATCCCCACTACCTCAGACTGTGACCTTATTTGGAAACAGCATCTTGTCAGTGGAGAGCAAATTAAAATGTAGTCATTAGGGTGGTCGTTAGTCCAATAAGACTGATGTTCTTATAGTAGGAAAAAAGTTGGACAGAGACACACACAGGAAAGACGATAGGACAAGATACTGGGAAAGGAAAGCCAGGTTCAAGCTGAGGAGAGAGGCCTGGAATAGGTCCTTTCCTCACAGCCCTCAGAAAATTAAGCCTGCTGACATCTTGATCTAGGACTTCTGGCCTCCAGATCTGTGAGACAATACACGTCTGCTGTTTAGGTCACTTAGTCTGTGGTGCACTATTATGGCAGCTGTAGCAAACTAATACAGAAATCACAAATGACTGCGTTTGAGTAGAAAGTCCCTTCCTAATTTTCTCATGAATTGCCTTCTCTGAAATCTAGTATCCTCAAAGGGAAATCATGATTGCATTAAATGGGGGAAACTCTCTTATAGTACCAGCTCTAAGAATGCATAATTTTATTGACTATGTACTATGCACTAGTACTAAGGGCTTGCTTGACCTGCCTCACCTCCTTTATCATCTCCATTTTACCCAGGAGGAAACAGACACAGAGGCACTTTGTCTATCATAGATGATAAGTGTTCTTGCTGAATCCAGGCATGCCCCCGTCCACCATGTACTCAGTAAACTAGAAATACACCCACATGTTTTACACCTGGTTTTGTGTGTGTTTTTTCCTTTTTTGTGGCAAACGGGATCACACTATATTGCTCAGGTAGGTCTTAAACTCCTGGGCTCAAACTATCCCCCAAACCGCACCTCTGCCTCCCTAAATACTGGGATTACAGGTGTAAGCCACTGCACCTGGCACACCCTCACGTTTTTAGTCTTAACTCTATTATTTCAGCTTCTCGAAAGGTCCAATTCTTGTCCTTAAAAGTGAATACACCACATAAGAGAACACGAAATGGACAAAAAAGTATATTTCTGACTATGGCAAAAGGGGGTGGAGGGGAGGAAGACAACTGTTTAGATGGCATTTGAAAAGTTAAAAAAGGAAGAAACTCAGAGCAGCCCAAAAGACAGATGATACCTAAGAAGGCTTAAGGAGAAAGACACGTTGACTTATTAGTATTATTTCAGCATCCTCCTCGCACAGTTTGGCTTTGCTCTGAGACAATGCACCAGTCTGGGATACTGAGGGATGCAGGCACGGAGGTTGTGCATCCTCTCCGCAGACACTACGCATGCACGACTGCCAGTTCAAGTCGCGGTCCAAAACCGCAGGGAGGCGGGGGCAGGCGAAACCGAGAAACCCACCCACGGTCCAGGGGCTGGCATTCCAGGCTCGAGCGAACCCACCCAGGGACCTCCGTGACCAAGGCCATTTGCCTGCAACCTGATGGCTCGCAGTGATGCCACCCTGAACATTTTCAACCCCCTCTCCCCACTCGACAGCCCCCTTGCACGGTCCCTCCTTCCTCATACACACCCCTGATCCAAACTCAAGCAGTGAATTTGCCCCCAGACGAGGGCCTCGGCTCTGCGCGGCCGTTGGCTGAGTAGCTTGGCCTGATTCCGGGTGTGACGTGAGGAGGAATTGATGCGGGTTAACGTATCGCGCCCGCCCGCGCCGAATTCCCAGTCTGCAACTGCCGCGGCGGCAAAAGCCCGAGACGCGCGTGCGCGGAACGGCACTAGGCAGCCCGGGACGCGCGGGTTCGGAGGCGGGCTTGGGGCCGTGGGAAGCGCGTGCGCAGATTGGCCCCGGAAGCCCGAGGAGGCCCTGACTGCGCGTGCGCGGGGCGGGCGACTGCGCGCGCACTTTTCCCTCGACCCCTCCCCCCCACCCAGAACCAGAAGGCGGTACCATGGCGGCTCCCCCGCCCGCACCCCCGCTACAGCCAGTCACCCACCTCATCTTTGACATGGACGGACTTCTTTTGGGTGGGTAATGTGCAGCCACCGCCTCCCGCGAGGGCGGTCCTGGGTGGGCGTGGGAACGGTCTGCGCGGGATACGTCACGGCCGGGGGCCCGCGGCGGGGCTGTGTTTGAGCAGGGACCCTGGGGCTCCCGCGCGCTGTATCCCGCACAGGACTCGAAGTCGGGCGGCGGCCAGCAGCGCCCGCGGGCCCATGTCCGGACTGGAGGGCGCGCGTGGCTGCGGCGTCTACGCGACCTCAGCACCCGCTTCCGGTCGGCGGGCCGCGCGTGGGGCCGGAGCACGTGGGCGCGGTCCCTGGGGACCACCAAGCGGGTGCGCGGCCCAGCGTCCTCTCTGCAGAGCTGGGCGCAGCGGGACCTCCGCTCCCTTTTCGGTTACCCACAATTGTGTCCTTGAGCGGTGCCCAGCCTCAGTTTCCCGGTCTGCAAACTAGCCTGGAGGATACTTGCCTGCCTACCCCAAGGTTGCTGCTGTGGGCGCACCTTGATGGTAGCATCCTACGTGGTAGCGGTTCTCCACCTGGTGGTTTGGCCACCCTGAGGGCATCTGTCAATGGTAATGTCAGGAGACATTTTGGATGTCACAGTTGGCGTGGAGGGATAGGGTCACTGGCATCTAGTGGGGTCCAGACCAGGGATACTGCTAAACTTCCCACATTGCACAGGAGTGCCCTATGCAACCATAAGGAATTATCTCGCGTCGTCAACAGTGTAGAGGCACAGAAGGTCTGCGAAGTGGCCTGGCTGCCTAGGGTGACCAGCACCAGGGACATCACCTGGGAGCCACTTGTAAAATGCAGATTCTGCATTTTAACACAAGTGCGTGAACCTTTGAGAACTCCTGCTCTATCAATAAGAGGCATTTAGAAACCCTTGGTAGTGTACTAACGTAGTCATAGCACATGTGAACTTTACCACCCAAGAGGAATTCAAGTAGAATTCGAAGAATAAAACCCTGGTTTTTTTTGTTGTTGTTGTCTTTGAGACGGAGTTTCACTCTTGTTGCCCAGACTCTAGTGCAATGGCGCGATCTCGGCTCACCGCAGCCTCTGCCTCCCGGGTTCAAGCGATTCTCCTGGTTCAGCCTCCCGAATAGCTGGGATTACAGGCATGCGCCACCACGGCCAGCTAAGTTTGTATTTTTAGTAGAGATAGGGTGTCTCCATGTTGGTCAGGCTGGTCTCGAAACCCCGACCTCAGGTGATCTGCCCGCCTTGGCTTCCCAAAGTGCTGGGTTTACAGCAGTGAGCCACCGCGCCCAGCCTAAAACCCCATTTTTAACTTAAGATAGAACTATACCAAACTCTACCCAAAGCCTCAACAGAATTAACACCATGAAACATAATCACCAGGATGCTTCATAGATCTGTAAATGTGTCTGCCTACTCTGTATAGACTGCTGACCTGCTTGTTTACGTTCATTCCTTCGTTTCAAAACCCTGCAAATTCGGAGGAAGTATTTGCATTTCACTAATTAAAAAAAAAAAAGAAAGAAAGAAAGAAAGAAAAAAACAACCTGCAGCTGGGAGAGGTAAAAGTACTTGCCCAAGTCACACAGCCAATAAGCCAAACTGAGAAACGATTCTGGATTGATCCTGTTCTAAATATAAATGATGTTGAGCTCAATTTAAATTGTGAATGTGACCTTGTTCCTGCTCATCATATTGCTAGGTAGTTAACTAGCAGTGTTTTCTTTAAAAAAGGCACACAATAACTAGTCTCTTCATTTTATGAACACAGAGATATAAACAGATTAATTCCAGAGGAAAAGAAATCCCCATAGAGGTCACTAATTGGAGCCAACAGGTATGCAGCTACTAAATTTGAAATGACTCAATTTCAGAAAGCTTCTGGGATACATAAGCATAGTTTGTAGACATGAATTTTCCTACTCTGGTGGTCAAGAAGTTAAATTGTCAAATAAATTTCTTACCCTCTAATGAAAAGTCCAGAGAACCTGTTCTGGGAGTCTCATGAATTTTAATACTAAACAAGATGTCTCATTAAAATTAAATTTATTAAACTTCTAAATGAGCTTGATGCCTAATTCTCATTCTAGATTTGCACATAGCCATGCCCTGAAGCGATGAATGTGACTTAAATGGCAATACAACCGTTGACCTCACATTGTTACCCAGTCCTCTGATCTAGTCAGATAACCAAGAATTAGTGCTATTTGGAAAAATAAGCCCTACCTCTTTTTATTCCCTTCCCTCATTTTCTGCCCATTTCTTCCATTCTGGCCCTACCTCTTCTTTGAGGTGGTAAGGCCTTGCAAAACCTTCTTGGAAATATACCTCTGCTTATCCTATTCTTTTACAAAATGTATGAATACAAAACACTGCTTTCCAAAATATACCAGTTTAATTTAATCTACCAGATTATGCCTGCTCTCATTCTGTATCCTCTCACTTCAGTGTATCTATTGATTGCATAACAATATGTCATCAATTTAAAATGAGTTATTTTGCAGTAGGTCTGTGTTTTTGGAAATTTTGAATGCATTTCCCTAGGAAGTTCTGTTTGTCGATGTAGCCCCAATACTTGCATACTTGTGGAAGTAAAATTGAAAATGAATAATTTCATGGAGGATTGTTAGCATTACAGGAGAAGCTTGTTTAATCAGAGGAGGATGAGGAAGTAAATAGAGATTTTAGAGGAAATGTTGACCAGGAAGAAAGCCTGGGCATTTTGCCATGCTTTTGACATGCACAATGCTGTTGTCTTTTTTTTTTTTTTTTTTTTTTAAAGAAAACACTTTGGATTCTGTTTCTCATGACCAAGGTAACAGTCAGTTATGATTTAGGTAATATTAGTAATTCTAGCTCTGAAATGCCGTTCAGAGAAAAAGGGGATTGAGATTAGTTAGAAACTGGGACAATATTTTGAAGCAAGAAGATGACAAATATTAAACAGTATCTCAGCAGCTGGACAAGGAAGATGATTCCATTTGTAAATAACTGAAATTAGGAGCACAAAAGATGGTCCCAATTTCTTTAAAATTAGAGAAGACAGTTTGTTGCCCAGAGCAGTTCTGTCTCATAGAATAGAATTGAGCCAGGTGAAATTTTTTGGGAGCAACTTTTAATAAGTAAAAAGATACAGATGACATTGATTTGGATGATGTTATGTAACCTAATGTCTCAGAAATATTACTATTCAATACATAGTCAATATAAAAATCATTGACGTGTTTGACATTAATTTTAATACTAGGTCCTCAAAATGTGTGTGTATTTTATACATACAACACATCTCAGTTTGAACTGGCCTCATTTCAAGTGCTCTATAGCCTCACTTGGTGAGTGGCTGCTGGCTTGGACAGCGTGGGTCTAGGTCTTTGTGGAGTAACTCATGGTGTCTGTTGTTAATAGCTATGCTGGGAGGGCCAGGCAGAGGGTGGGTGTAAAGAATATTCAGAATTAGGAATTTTGGTGTATGTAAAATGTGGTATGTATAAAATGTATTTTCTTGGAGTCTGATACAGAATTATTTAAAATCCTTTTTAAAAAATCAAAGGAAAATAAGCTTATTTTCAAAATCTTAAAACACTGTAAAATAAATAAGGTAGATCTGCAAAGGGTAATAAGAACATTTGCAGTATCGACCATAATATGCCATATCTTTATAAATCCAGATTGCAGGATTTTAATGAGTGACTTCTACTTTATCTTTATATAGTAGAATGAAGACCTGTTCTTTGCCTTCTTGCACTCCCATAGCTTCCTCCTTGCCAAATAATAGCACTTGAGACTGTAAGTGCCTGCCTTATTGTCTGGGGCCCAGGAGACACTGAAAGGTCATGGAGGTAGGGTCTCTGTGGTGATCACCAAGCCCAATACCGATGGAATTGTGGGCTGCCTGAGACAGTTGACAGTTATGTTCACCGTGTGCTCAAAATTCCATAGACACTGCATGAGTGTGTTTCACACTATCATTCTTTGTTAACTTCGTGTAGGCTGTTTCTCTGTACACTGTAACATCCATATAGCTGAAGACAAAAATAGATTTTTCTTATGTAATATTAGCACATGCCCTAGATGGATTGTCAGAACAATCTATGTATGTCGTCATTTGACCCCGTGAAATACGTCTGAGGTTTAAAAGTGCAGTTGGCGAGGTCTTCAGCCTCAGTAGATTCTTACTGCTTGATGTTATCAAGTCATTTGTTCCAAGTGCGGTTTTTAAGAGTTTTGGCCCGTTTTTGAGGAAGGTGGAGCAAAGCGAAGGATCATTCCTCGTGCTTCTTCCATAGGTGGTCATTGTTTAACCCCAGAATATGCAGAGATCCTAGTTGGAATGAGACAGTAATCACAACCTCCCCTCCTTCCATCATATGTAATGAGTCTTGTTCTGGATGTCAAAGCAACTCTGGTGGTAGGTTCACATTCTTTCTTTGCCCTGCCTCCCCTGGGGGCTGACAGTGCACCCTTGGGTTCTAACCTTGCTAGGTGAAATGTAGGTTCTCTTCCACATTTGCAAAGGAGATGGCTGAGGGTGGAGGCCAGTGTGAGGGCTTGGGACAGAGGTGAGCCCTTACCTCAGGGGCCATGATTGGCCTTTCACTACAGTGTGATCAGTGAATAATCTGTTGTTTCTGGAAACTGAAAAGGTTTCTGGAATATAGCAAGCACAAGACACATGTGTTTCTATTAAGGGTTTGAAGAGATTTGGAGTAAGATGCTATATTTTATGTCAGAGAAACAGCATCAAATTATAGACTTAGCTCTCTTTCGCTCTGCTTTCTAATAGACCTGAACCATGCCAACTTTAAGTTCTTGTAGTAAGTGGTTGGTTGCCTACTACAGCTGTTTCTGTTTCTAGAATAACTGAGAAGGGGGTAAGACTTAAATCTGCAGATAAATAAGTTTTGTCCACCTAGCAACACAACTTAAATATTCAGCAGATTCTAGGTATGCAGGTATAAAATATTATTTTCTTTTTTCTAGCTCCAATAGAAACAGTATGGTTTTATTTAGAATCTTTAAATAAAGTGGATACA